CATAACCCTTCTGCATAACAATTTCGTCATGTCGTGTCCTCTCGAATGAGCTAGCTAGTGAAGATTAAGATAAGAAAAACGGGTTTGCTAATTCAAAACTTCTACCAAAAATAGAATCTGGAGGACTAATGCCGTTTATGACCGTCTGCTCGAAGGGGCAGACAGAACACGTGATTAGCCCGCAGTCGCGGTAAAATTCTCCTCATGAACTGCTCATGAAAAGCGCGTAGCCTCCCCTACTGAACAGCCGTTCCAGGCAGGGTACAGCATCGTGATGTGTAGAGTGGTGGTTCAGTACGCCCCTTTGAAGGAAGGCTTGGTACAACCCCCTACCTGAAAAACGATCTCGGTACGACCCTCCATCTGAGAGAGGGTTTCGCTACGACCCCGCCTCATTCATAAACACCTTCCTACCACTTTCCCACAAGTTTATAGCTTTCTATCAGTTTTCACCCGAAACTTTTTCGTCGAACCGCGGAGGGGAGGGGGTGAATAGCATATGTGAATGAAAAGGGAAGAGCGGCGAGGAAAATTTCTTAATTTTCTTCATTTCCTAGATTTTCCAACTTCCTACCGCTCCTTCCGGAATTTCCCGAAAACTTTCCTACTTCTCCCCAAAAATTGAGCTGTCAAGAGGGAGGGGGGGGGAAGCTTTCTCAACAACGACCAGATATGACCCCTCCCTCCCAGCGGCCAGTACGAACCCCCCTCCCGCCCCATGGGCTAATGCCGTTTGGGCTCCAGAAATTTCGCCTCCGAGCTCATTTCCAAATTGCCTAAGCCACCAAATCCACTAAAAACTTGTATATAGGGGTAATTCAACACCCTGATTACGAGTATGACACTCATTCTTGGCGCTGGCGCCAAGAGAGGACACTACGATTACCTTCTGGGCTTAGCCTTGGCAGAGCGCAGGTAACCGTAGCGTCATCCATTAGCGCCAGCGCCAAAAATGAATGTCATATTCGTGATCAGGATGTTGAATTACCCCTATGTACAAGTTTTTAGCGGATGCGGTCTTGCTACTTTTAAAATGAGCTCGGAGCCGAAATTTCTGGAGTCCAAACAGCATTACCCAACCCCGCCCCATGTGTTTCACAAACGATGCTGTACCGTGGTTCCAGGGCTATGTGGTGGGGACAATGTTGGGGCAAAAAGAAACGGTGCTCTGTTGGGCCTTGTGCACGAGCCATTAAGAAGAACAGGGCTTCACATTCCCACCTTTTGATCCAAGTGTGTTTCTAAACCCATGACTTGTGGGAATTGACCTCCAGCGCCTGAGGCGCGGATGAAGTAACGGATTGGTCGGTCGTGTGAATGTGGCCACGCTTAGATTATCCTGCGGTCGAGAGCACGAAATGGGGACATATCAAAAGGTTGCTGAATTATGGGCAATGCGCTTGGCCTTAATTAATATGCCGAAAGACTATGAACCCAAGCCAGAAGACACAAAAAAGTGCTGGCACGAATACATTGGCTCTGAGATGATGGAAATCGTTGTGAACCAAGTTGACTTAGGGTACAGAATCGTGACCGTCTCTGAAATGGTCTCCGAAAACATCTCTGAAAGAAATGGCAGAGTCAACATGGCACCAAAAAAAGTTCCCTCACCACCCCCATCCCTATTCTAAATTCTCGTGAGTTACCTCCATTTCCTACTTGTTTTTTTTCAAGTTTTTGCATGCTCCCATCGAAGAGGTTTCACTGAAGGGGGGGGGGGGAAGGAGTTGGAAAATGAGAGATGGGAGTCACTATTCAACTACTACTTTTTCAACTGTCAGAAGTAGCAGTTTTGTAGTAGCTCTGCTGACTCAGCGATTGGGGGAGTATACGTATACCCACCAAATACCACCTTCCCTCCCCATCGACGAAGCACGACGTCCCTCCCCCCTCACCCAATGGGCATCTCCCAAAAATTTTGTGCTGGTGTGGGCTTATGGGCGACGTTTCGTAAGTACATGTGATACCATTTCTTTTGCAATCAATCACCATCCATGCAGGAACTTCTGCGAGGAATCGTCCCTAGCTACATTCGATATAGCCGGAGCTCCGTGGGGCTCTGGAAAGAGGTGTCAGAAGACGTGAGTCCACCCAGGCCTCGTTTACCTTAGGATGTCTTCTAGTTAGAGGCAATGCCCGCAATCATTCGCCATCACAGATAGATAGATGGGCTGGACTCCGCATATAGACAAGAAGAGGCTGAGTAGCGCGATACTGAGGAATATTGCAGAAAACAGGATGCCACCTGCCCTAGATAGAAGCCCATTTCGATCCCAGATTGTACGTTCCCAGTTAAGTCCATCCCTAACACTATGCCCCCATCCGCATGGCTGATTCTCCAGTAAGAGCTCTACGACCGTACTGCTGACGGGTTTCTTTTTTTTCGTCCTGCAGCTTCGTTTTTCCCTGAAAAGCGGACCTTGGAGGCGGAGTCTGGAGGCGGGGTCATTGAGAGAAAGGAAGCATCACGGACCTATTTGCGCTATAGCACCCCTCCCTTACGATTTTTTGCCGCGAAACGCGCAGTGGACCACACTACCCTCCCGACGCCATATTCAATCTCTATACCTGACCGCAGGCCGTGCCTTTGAACCAATCTCTACTGGTAGACAACGCAGCCGCGGATGTGCTTATTCCACGCCTCTTGACACCGCTCCGCCGGATTGCGACGATTTCAGCTGCATGTTCAAACATTCAGCCCCATGCACAGTAGGAATCACGAACATTCCAGCTATTAAAAGGGAATCAGTCGAAAATTCGGAAGAAGTTGGTATTCAAAAGAAAACTTCGAAGTCACACAGTGGGAGTACTCTAAAGAGATGATGATAGATGAGAGTGATCGTACTCAAAAATGTTTTTTTTCTTTCACGGTAGCATTGCAATCGCCATGATTTTTCCGCACTGAAAGCATATCAGTGGCCCCTGCCTTATCCCTTGCGTGCGAACACGTGTCCCTCTTTGAAGCGATTGGGAAGGATCTAATTTCGACCGTATTCGGCCTGTTCCCTTTGATGTTCATCCAAATTCTCATTTCAGAACGAGTAGTTCACCAGTGATTGACGGCAGATGTCTAACTAAGGCTGCGTGCACACTTTGCGGCAGCGTCCATCAGCGACCAGAAGGGTCCACCAGCGTCTCGAGGGCTAAGGAAGTATAGGTATCAATCTAGCGTCTGCCAGCGTGCACTAGCGTTCACCAGTATCTGCCAGCGTCCGGGAGAGAAGAGTATGGCGCTCTGGAAGGGTAATAGACCACTGGGCCCCTATCGCGCCATACTCTCTACCAGCAGTCTGCTACCCTCCTATCTCCCTACACTCTCCTCTATCAGTGGCCCCTGCCTTATCCCTTGCGTGCGAACACGGATCTCCTCTCCAGGATTCTGTTAGACGCTGCACGCTAACAGGCGCTGGCAGAGGTACATTGATATCTATACTTCCCTAGCCCACGAAACGCTGGCAGACGGCGGTGCGCACTTGCAGGGACGCTGGCAGAGCTGACCGATATCTAGTAATTTCCTAGCTGCTGACGCCTGCTGCTCGCGAACGCTAGCAGGCGCTTACGGTCGCTGTAGTGGATGCTGCCGCAAAGTATGCCGCGTCTGAATCCGCCCACTGATCAGAAACGGAATGTTCTTCCAAGCAAACAACGAAAAATGATACATCATCACACATTCCTTAGTCAATTCTCAAAGGAATGAATGGAAGTGTCAGTGCAAAGTTACAATACAACAATTTATTCCACAAATATGTCAATGAATTAAAAACTCATGTCAGCTGGAGGTGATTGTAACCTGGAATGTTCTACAAAGAAATGTTTTGTTTCATTGGCATAATGTTAGCCATTATCAGTACTCAATGTATTTCCTCGTTGTGATAATGGTGGTCACTGGAATTTGACAGCGTCCATACTTGTTTCGTATTCATACTGCAAAAGAATCGACGTAACGATTTGTGAACGCATGGAAGACTGAAGGCCATTGACCGGTTGCAAGAGATCATCGAAAGCAAATTGGGCTATATTATGAGTGGAAGAGTAGTCGGATCTGAAATTGAAATAGAACTTACGGATAGTCCCTAGCTTTCTCTTTTGAACCGCGGCACACTAAAGGCTGGGCGTTCATACTTTGCCAGCCACCATCGGCTTACCATCGCCAGCAGCACTTGAAAGCATTACAGATATTGATCTAGCCGGCAGCAGCGTTCATCAACAGCAACAGCGTCTATGACCTCGACAGCCAGGGGGTACGGTACCGATTATAGCGTTCTCTCAGCGTCTGCCGGCATCTGAGAGCGTCCACCTGCGACCGGGAGTAGAGAGTATGGGGAAGTAGGAGTGTAGCAAACAGCTGGATTAGGCGGTCGTGAAATTGGGGGTGTGCAACTGCACCGCAGAATGCCGAAGCACAGAACTGTCTATTTAATACACGGTGCAGTGTAGTTGTACGGTGCGGTTGCAAACAGCGCGATTTCACGACGCTTAATCTAGCTATGTGCTATTCTCCGGTGCAGTTCGGTGATGGGGGAGGCATTTTGCTTCCCATCTATGTGCTGACCATCTAGAGCCTTTTCTTGAGCTGATAAGCTTTCCCATGGTGGCTAAACGAGCTTACTCCACTCTGGTGAGACTTGTAAACTGGAAGTAGTGAAGCAGTGAAAGTGCAAATCTCACGTTGCCGAACTCGGCTTCCGTGGCTCCCTATCCACAAGGAGCTATGGCATGGGTAGGGGGCTTTTCCACAGGACTTTCCCTTGAAAGAACTGTGTTCCTGTCTCATGGTGGATAATGGCATAAAGTCCAAAGTCGCCGAAAGGTTTAGATGAAGTATGCAGCTTCCACGCCTTCCCCATCTTTGGGATATGGGCTGCACCTTCGCGCTGGAATTCATGCACTAATCTGTCGCCCTAACCATAGGTTTCCTAGACAGCATTCCACTTCTTTGGTGGAGTAATAGGAGAGATTCCTGCGTCGCACCCAACCAGTGGTGCGGATCCAGATGAGTATTAGTTATGAACGACAGCACGAACCTTGTGGGGCACTGATGGTTCAACAACAGCTGCCATTTTCGTGCTATTATATAAAGTCGGAGAGTATGTAGTAATAAATAGAGTAATATTATCAATACGATAGATATTGTAGCGCGGAGTTCTTGTCTTTGCCGGCTGAGCTCGGTCTTTCTGAGGAGACGTGTGGCGTATTGCTGCCTGAAAATATTAGAAAAAATGACCCTTTCAGAATATTATTATAATTCCAAGGCTCAAAATTAGGTTAGCCATTGGAGTCCTTAGTGGAAGTTAGCACTCACTACCATAGAACCAAAT